CCGAGCCAGCCTCACGGCCCTTCTCTCCACAGAGATGTGGTATGGCGTCTTCCTCTGGGCACTGGTGTCCTCTCTCTCCTTCCACGTCCCGGCCGCTTTGCTAGCGCTCTTCACGCTCAGGCATCACAAGTACGGCAGGGTCAAAAAATGTGAGCCTCCTGCTGATGGGCATCGTGGGACCCATTACCGCCGGCATCCTAACAAGTACGGTAGATGCTCGAAAATATCGACCGGGGTGGCTCTGTAGCGATCAGAGGTTGCCTTTGGGAGCGTGTCAAACCGTGGCATTCCCCGGGGTAGAGAGGAGATTAATGTTTTGGTTATATTCCCCTCTCACCTCATGTCTGAAAGAGTTAGCCCACCCCACCCATCGAGCCCTTTGTCGGGGATACCAAACATGCCCGTCAGGTGCAGAGCCCGGTGGGCGTTCAGGTTTCTCAGCGCTCGGAGAAACACCCTTACAGGTTTGGCGTCTCTGCCTAGAACCGGGTGACGTTTGCAGCTTGCGGGCTGTGGCGTAGAGGATCTTGTGACGAGAGTATGTCCAAAACCGCCCCAACCTCTGCTCCGCCTGGAGGCCTGAGGGGAGTTTCCCCACTGATTTACCCATTGCCACCGGCACGCGTTGGTCACTGGCTGAGGTTTGTCACAGTAAACCCAGCCGGCATTTCTGCCAGCTGGTGCGCAGGGGTTCAGGGCCCTCTCCTGCAGAGCCCCCTGTTCTCTGCCCGAGTCTTGGATCCTCTGAGACTTCCCCCTTCGCCCCTATGGTATAACAGCGTATATCTCACTGTGGCTGTCTCGCATTCATGCTTTGGCTTTTTCCCCTCTTCGCAGGTGCTGCCATTGCTGGAGTTTACAGAGCTGCGGGGAAAAAAATGATTCCCTTTGAAGCCCTCATTTTAGGAGTGGGTCAGACATTCTGCGTGGTGGTGGTTTCGTTTCTACGCATTTTAGCCACTCTCTAGCTCTTCCCCAGGCGCTGGAGATCACGGATCAATGGAAGAGCGAAGGATCTGCTGCCTGCGCCGTCTCAAGCAAATCACAAGGATGAGAAACCCAAGGCTTGCCTCGGCGTGTGCTTTCTCCACTGGTTAAAAGCTATGTGAAGGCCTGCTCCTGCCTCCAGGGTGGCTTGAAATTAAGCTAAAAATTGTGAATTTTGTTACTTTTTGGTAACATTAAGTGCCAAGTGAAACTTTATTTCCCTGGAGGATAAGAAAAGTGCTTCCGGAGGAGGAGGCCCACCTACCTTTTACCAGTGATGAATTGTAGCAACAGGATGCAACAAAAACGTGACACCGGCTGTTCTGGGGTAGAAACAGTACGACAGAGTGATGTGATGTCTTCAGAGCTCACTTAACGCTTTGGCCTCTTGCTGCTTTGTTTGCAGTGAACCTGAAGCTCTTTTAATGTGAATTTTTTTTAAATGACAGACTTAATTTGTTTTCTTCCTGGCCCCAACTTTCTAATACCAAGTCTTGGTCATGGTGAATTTGGGAGCAGCAAAAGGAAAAATCTTTTTAGTTGGATAAAAGTGCAAATTTGTGGCCAAGAGCTGTGACTATGAATGCTGCGGCAGGGGAAATGACCGGTGTAAAAAAGATCGCTATTTTTTATGAATTTTATTATGGTGAAGCTCCTCAGGCACTGTGTACCTTCTGCCCGAGAGGCAAAGCCCCGCTAGAAATCCCAGGGCGCGTGTGTGAGCGCGCACTGCTGCTTCTCGGGCTCTGAAGGAGACTTGTATTTTTAAACTTCTCCATTCTCCTTTTACTTGCTGAACATGTTTACATTGGTGTGGCGGAACTGGGTGTCTTCGCTGATATGTAAACATCGCCGACCGGCTTATATAAAATCCAGCGCGCTGTTGCTTCGGTGACTCCGCTGGTGAGAACTGCACGGCTCTGCTGGCTTGTCGTGACTTGGGGCTTCCTGGGTACGGAGACGGGGAGTGCGAGGCGTTTTCGGTGTCCAGCCCGCAGCGTGGCGGACAGGGGTCCCAAGAAGAGCCCGGGCAACGCCTGGGTCCGTCAGGGACGAGCTTGTGTGAACATAGCCCCAAACCGACCTTTACCGGCAGGCGGTAAGGTCTCTCATGAATTGGTTTAGTTTGTTTGAAGTGACTTTTAACTCTCATATCCACTGTTTTGTCGGAGGCATGCCACACGGCTGGGGTTCTGGGGTAGCTGGCTGGCTGCTTTCTGGGGGATTGTTTTTCTGGGGTCCTTGGGGCACCTGAGGTTAAATCCCAAGGCTGTGCCCGGGCAGCGTAGCCAGCCCTGTGGCTTTGCTGTGCTCCTTGTTTATCGCCAGCTGACAGGCGTGTGGGCTGCCGAGGGAAGGCGCCGTCGGTCTCCAGCCTCCCAGGACACCCATCCTGTCTGTGTTTTTGCTGAACTCCTCTGGTTTCCAAACCAGCTCGCCTTTTTTTACCTGCAGCATTTCATAAGGCCAATTATCTTCTATGAACCCCGTCTCCTCTGTGCTAAAACAACCCTCAACAGGGCCCTGTGTTTATCATGAAAAAGAATTTCTCTCTGTGTACTAAGTTCTCCGGAGCAGCCTGTTGACAGCTGATGGAGAGAGGTGTTTTTCAGGAGCTACTTACTGAGATCACTCTAAATTTTAGCCCATGTTAATTCAGGGAATAAAGCTGGGCGTTTTAGGAAAGACTTTAATGTGAATCCTTCTCCTTAGATGGATGAGGTCCAAGCGGTGTAACATATACTAAACCCTGGATCTTTGGAGCGCCCCGTGTGCTGTGCTGCTTGTAGAGAGCCGGTCTTCCTACCGCTGCATCCCCCGGGGGAAGGTTCGGCCTTTCCTGCCCTTGTTGCTTCTGCAGGAATACCCATCTCTCTAGATGTCTTTCCCCCTTCCCACTTCTTATTTCAAATGACTGCATCCGCAGTGCGTGTCCGGTCTGCCTGGTTTCATTCACGTGAATTACCCTGCATTTTCCTGGATGGATTAAACGTCCCTCAAGGGACTTAGACTGGGCAGGTCTGGCTTTGCCTTTCAGGTGACGCTAGAGACCAGCGTCCTGAGCACCCGCCGCGCTCCCCTTTCCCCCCGCCCCGGTGCCTGGCATCCCTCAGTAGCAAGGACTAACCAGTCATCAGTGTGCCGTGGCACGAGGACGCTTCCTATGCAGTAAAGCGGCCGAGGCATGCATGTTAAAAGCTCAGAAAAAAAGGAAAAGAACCCAAAACCTTGCTTGATAAAATTACTCGGTGCTGCGTAAACCGAGAACTTCCTGTTTTCTACCCAAGTCTGTTCTGAGTGGGGGGGGGGGATCTGCTTTACTTGAAGAGTTGGCAGTTTGGCCACTGTTTGGAAGTTGAGTGGTTGGAGCCGGTGGCACCTCTCTGAGCCCAGGCACCCTGAAATTTTCAGGGAATTCTTGCATAAAAGGAGAACAGTCAGCTGCTGGCTTGTCTTGGCAGGGATTAGTGCTGGGGGAAGGCTCTTCGCCTCAGAGCATCCTCGGCTCCCTTGGCTGCCTTCCCGACCTCCCTCTCCAGTAAACCCAGGCCCAAATAGGAAGGGGGACTAGTTTTGAGCTGATGCACCAGATCCTGGTAGTTTTCTCCCCTTTCATCACATTGGTTCGGTCTTCCCTTTGTGTTCCTTATCCAGAAGCGAGCGGAGGAATTCCTTCCGTTTCCAGCGGGTGTTGGTAGACTTCGCTCACTCAAACTTGCCAAAAACTGCAAAGACCTTGCAAAAATGTCAATGCCGATGTGTCCCGGGCCGGGCAGTGCTGTGAATCCCTGGCCAGGGAACCCAGCCAGGAGCGTCGGGCAAGGAAACACCTCGCAGAGAAGTCTCCTGCCCCGGAGAAACATCACTGCTCGAGCCGAGACTCGTGGCCCTGCTTTCTGTGTGCGAACCTCCTCTGTGCTGGTCTGATTTAGGTACCGCCCGACTTCCCATCTTGCTAACGACCGCAGCTGTCGTGAACAAATGTTTGTATGATAGAAAACTCGGTAAATTTTATTTTTCTACTGACACTTCTAATCCTAGTGGTGATTATCAGTAAATTCTGTAAAGATCGAGGTGAACGGAGTTGTGCGTTTCTCTTGCAGGGTGACAAGGGGGCCTGGGTTGTGCGTTTGGAAACGAGCCTTGCTCCTGCCTCGCACGGGGCCGGTTTCTCCTCCCCGGGGCCATCTGCACCGGGAAACGTCCTGGTCCTGGTGGTTAATTTTGTCTCCATCAGGAGCTGGATGCGTGCCTGCAGCCTGAGGTGACACCTCGCTGCTGGGGATGAGCTCGGCCTGGTTGGAGGCCAGGAGTCCCTGTCCCTGTGCCGGGGGTCCCCGTAGCTCCCGGGCTCGTTGCTTACCCCCTGCCGTCTCCCTGGGGCTCGGGCTTTCCTGGGGTAGCAGGCGTGCGGGTCCCACTGTCCCCTTGCTGCTCTCGGGATGAGACCCTCACCCGCACAGCTCCGGTTAAACCCAGGGCTGGAGCATCACCTGCGCTACGGAGCCTGCGTTATTTTATATCGATATACAACCTACAA